CCGAGTGAGTCAGCCCTGGAGTGGACGCGCCTGGACTTGGGGGGAGCCCGAGCACCAGTCCCGGGGGCGACCGGACCTAGGACTAGGGAGGGACTAGTCTTCAGCCCCGAGCGCCGCGAGAGCGCGTCTGTGCGCCCGGCCCCGCGTGCACCTACCAGATGAAGTCGGTGCAGTGGCTGCAGAAGGTGGGCTGCTTGAAGAAGCGGGCGATGAATTTATGGTCCTTCACTTCGTGCACGTTCTTCTGTCTCAGCGCCCCTTTGCGGGCGAAGCGGTTGGCCACGTCCTGAGACGCCGTGGAGTCGTTGGCCGGGAAAACGTCAGCCATGGTCCCCCCCAACCACCTCTTGCCTCCGCCGGGGAGCAGCAGCCCGGGAGGGCCGGGGTGGGCGGGGGCGGGCGGGGGAGGGGCGGTGGCCGAGGTCGCTCCGAGGAGGCGCAGCAGCAGCCCGCAGCTCCTGACGCGGACGAGGCGGAGAAAGCGCGCTGGCCCCCGCCGGGCTCCCCGCCGCCGCCGCCGCAGTAGTCCAGACGGCACATGGCGCGCAGTTTTCGGAGCGATGAGCCGGGCCCGTTGTAGGGGTCCTCGAAGTCGCGCTCCTTTTGCGCTCGATAAGCGCGGATGAGGTCACTCGTACTGCCGCTGTCGTCGGGCAAGGAGCCCGACGAGGCTGAGAAGCAGGAGGCGGCGGCCGGACCGCAGGACGCCGAAGTGGCTGAGGCTGCCTGCGGCACAGACTGGGGGGGCTGAGAGGGTCGCTCGCCCCGGCGCCGCTGCTCGCGGTAGTCGGGCCTCGGTGGCTGCGGGGGGCTCTTGGTCTTGCTGTTCCCCAAGCTAAAGTACTTGTTCAGCCACTTGGCCATGGCGAGAGGCCACCTAGGGCCGCGGCGCGGGAGCCCGATCCGCCGCCGCGGCCATTCGGGGGACAACGCTGCCGCCCAGGTCCCTCGGCGCCCCGGCCCCGGCGGGGGGTGTCCGGGGCGCCCACTCCTGACGCCAAGTTCAAGTTCTCGCCGCCGCCTCCTGCAGGCTGTTCTCGGACTCTGGCAGCTGCAGCACCGCCCTCCGCCTCCGCCGCTCTTCTCCCGGGCTTCGGATCTCGCGCCTCTCGCAGGCGCGTCTCATAAGGTCCCGGCCCGCGATCCCGGCGAGCAGAAGGCCCGGGCGACCCCGAATGCGGACGCTTTGAATGTGCGCACCGCCGCGGAGCGCGCTCCTGCCCCGTCGGAGCCACAAGCCTCCGCCTCGGCAGGGATCAGTGGCTGCTGCGGGAACTTGGCGTCCTCAGCCCCCCTTCTTTCTTTCCGAGGGCGCTGCGGAGAGTCCGGCCCTGCCACCCGCGAAAAAGCAGGAGAGCGAGCAAGCGAGCGAAGG